TGTCCCGACCCCCGCGACAGCGGTGGCGGCGCTGCGGGGCTCTGGCAGGCGAGGGTAGCGAGACCTTCGCAGGCTGTGAGCTGGCGTTGGGCGGTCTGGGAGGGACGTGGGCCCTGCTCCCGAGTGGGTGCTGTTCGGCAGCGAGCAGCTTTCTGATCAGGCCGCCTAATAAACTTTGTCCACAAGGAAGGAGGTCAGGAGCATAGGTGACAAACTGGGAAAGAAGCAGCGCCAGCGTCTTTCTTCTTAGAATGGAGAAGGGATTCGTGCATTTCTGTGCTTTCACCGTGATCTGGTTTCTTTCTGTACGGTTGTACCGGGTCCTGAAATAGTCTTGGTTCTCTTGTTTCTTCCAGCACGGTCACAGACCGACCTTGTCGGGTGTCTAGTGCACGGTGTTCTAGGTTCAGCAGCAGGATACTACAGCCTAGCTGGGACTGTCAGGCCAACTCTCGGATGTCAGAGCTGCCCATTCTCTTTTTCAAAGTTTAAGGGGTACAAAAATGGCCTGGCGCAGTTCCTGTGCTTAGGTAGGTTGGGAATAGCTGACAGAGACTGATCGCACATACTAAGTGTAGTAGAAAAGTAGGGGCTTCCTGCAGAGGCTGTGAGTGGCTCAGCCTGGGCTTAGGAAAGGAGTGTTTCTGGAGTCAAATGCTGAATTGTGTGCTGGTGTTGCTCTGTGGACAAGGATGGAGGAAGAAACTGGCAGGAGCCGAGCCCTGCAGGGGTGATGCCCACGGGCACACTGAGGTAGTGTCACGCAGTTCAACATGGCAGAGCTCACAGTGCCAGAGGGGTGGAACCTGATGTTGAAGTAGTGCAAAATGGGTGCGTTCTGTGGGTCCCAACCCTGAAGCGCGTGCTCTAGCCCCAGCTTCTCACTTCTGTTTTAAAGTCCCTGAGGTAGGCAGTGTAGAATCACATGAGGAGAGACACTGTAATTTGCTATGTAGGATGGTGACTTGGGTAGTTTGGAGGGAGATTGGGGTGAAAGACTAGAAAAATGGATGTGGACAGAAATGAAACATGAGGCACTGAGTGAGTCAGCTGGTGTAGGGAGGAAATCAAGCCAGGATTTAATTGAGAGAATCTGCATGGCTTCCTGTGGGGTTAGGGGTGGGAGGAGTCCAAGAATCCTGAGATCAGCAATGAAAGGGAACACAGGAGGTGCTGGCCGCTTGAGAACCAGAGAAGGGTTGAGCATCCCTGAGAATATAGGGGCCAGGGCAGAAGCCAGGGTCTGTGGCCAGCTGACCAGGTTGCTGTCACTGGAGGACTAACCCTGCACCCCTGGTTGACACTAAGCAAGGTGCAAAGTTTGGGTTCATAGGATCACCCAGCTTTGGTCATGGCCTGATTTCACCGCCACTGTAGGGTTTGGCAGTGGAAGGTTCCATTATGGCAGTCCCTCCCGCTCCAAACCTTAGGGCCAGGGTAGGTCTGGTTCCTGAGGGAAATGGTTGTGTTCTCAGGAGAATGCTGGTCGGTAGCCAGAGGAGAGCAATCATGCTGGGTGCTGCACGTTTGTAGCCTCTGTGGCTATGCCAGGAGGAGTTGGAGAACTCTTCTTGAGACCTTGAGAGACCTTAAAAACAATTCCTTTGAATCTTCCTTCACATACCCCTCTGTCTGGAACTAAAATCTGACTCCATCTGGTGCTCATTTCCTACCACCCAGCGTCTTGTTCTGTGGAGGTGGGGTGGATGCTATGATGAATTTACCTCTTGTTCCCAGAAATCACAGCTGATGTAACCTTGCCTTTCATTCTGCAGGCGGGAGGCAGCACTGGGCTCTTGATGGACTTGGCAGCCAATGAAAAGGCAGTTCATGCAGACTTTTTTAATGGTAAGGATTCCGGGACTTGGGGTGCCAGGTTCAGTCTGACAGTTTCTTCTACATGTCGATGCAGTGGGGCAACTTTGTGACATGAATAATTTGGATCACGTCATGGTGAAGCCCAGACCCTCTGCCATTCTCAGTGCAGGGAGTGACACTGGTGGTTAACTCTGGCAATGAGCCCTATTTTTCCAAGAGAAAATTAATAGGAAATTGCTCCCTGTCTTACATTTCAGAGGTTGAGCTTGAGCACTGCTTTAGCACAAGCTCATGGACACCTGAGATTATGCTAGATTCCTTCCTGTCTGTCACCCGGATCTGGGTGTAGGAACCAGCCTGGCTGTATGGTCTGCTCTCTCTTGATGGTTGCTTTTGTTTCCTTTCCTTACCTGGCCCACACCTGTTTGTCCAGCTGGATTCTTGGCCTCCCTGTCCTTGGGGACTGACAGCCACACTCTGGCTTTTGCCCTTCCCTGTCTCTGAAGTCAAGATGCAGGATATACTTCATCTCAAATGTAAGGGCTTTCATACCACATTCCAAGAATGTGGGAGTAATTTTACTCAATAGTAACAGTGGAAACCTGACTCATATACATTCTCAGATGTGGTAGGGCATATTTCTCTTGGCTTTCTGATTTCTGAATGCCTTACTCTTGCAGGTTGTGTAACCCTCACTTCCTTAATTAGGGTTCAAACAGTAAGTGGAAATACTAGATATGTTTCCTACTCGGAAAAATGGTGTTTTCCTCCTTTTTCTGTCCTGCTTTAATCACATGGTGCTTTCTCGTACAAAGAACTTTTGTTACCTGTCAGAAGAAGCTGGGACAAGATCTTGCCATGTTGATTTCTAACTTATCAAACAGCCCGGAAGCCCCAGGTCCATGCTGGTTTGTCTAGATAATGCCAAGGCAGCCATTGCCCCAGAAGGGAAGCCAGGCTGCTAAACTAGAGTGTGGTCTTCCTGGGGCCTGGCTACTCCTTTAAGGCAAGTCCTGGCTGACTTCATCTGGTGTCAGGAGCAGGGGAAGTGACACTGGATGCAGCCCTTGAGAGCTGAGTAGCCTTTCTGTAAATTGTATGCTAGCAGATGGTGCAGAGGTGTGGAGTGTGCTCCAAGGCTGCCTTGATGAGAGTGGCAGCTTGTGCAGGGCATCTTGGGAGATGCCGCACCAGCATGGTTGTTTCATTCTTAGTGCTAGCACTGGGGTCTCTTGCATTTTGATGATTTTCAGAGTCCCATTTGTCCTCTGCCAGCCTGTTGGATTAGGTGTGATCTGTGCTGATCCAGTGACAGCCCCTTCCTTCTGACAAGAAAGGTGTCTGAGGGAGATCCAGCCCTTAGCAACATGAGCTCTCCCTATGAGCCATGCTGGAGGGGAGGAACAGAGAAGGCCTCTGCCCCACTCCTGCTTGCCCACTGAGCTCAGGAGCATGTGCCCACTCTGGGCACTCAGGTAGCGGAGAGAGGCATGTGATAGCTTCGCCGAGAGCTTCTGACAGTCCTTTTGGTTCATAGATAGATGGGCTGGGAGCTGGGTGTGGGGTTCTAGTGCTGAGTGTGACTCACTCTCTTTCATTGCTCTTTTATGAAGTAGTAGAAGATTTAGATGAGGCCTCAGGCAGGGCCAAGACCATGAGGGCTGACACACGGGGTGGGATTATTCCTGGAGCACATCACAGGGTGGCATCTCTGGAGGTGACAGGAGCAGAGGTTCTCTGGGGATGGGGACCAGATGTGACGTGCCCAGCATAGCCGTACCACATGTAGAGGCCAGGAGGCAGCGAGGACATGGAGTAGCCCCTCTCTGCTGCCAGATGTGTGTTGGGGATGCTCCCCTTCTGTGGGAAAGCCCGGTTTGGGGCTGCTGGAGGCTCCTGACTCTTTGCTGTGTGGCATCACCAGCAGGCACATTTTCAGTTCACTGCCCTGAGAGGTGGGGCTGGCTTGTTCTTTGCCTGTCATGGAAATGACGTGTGGTCAGGAAATTGGAAGATGAGTGAAAATTAAACCGGCCACAGTGGCTGTGGCTGTGGAGTGACTCAGAGCTGTACATTGTGTGTACCACACATCTTCCAGCAGGAACAGGGTCAGTCTGTGGTCAGAAGCTTGGCTTGGCCAGGCTTCCTGAAGAGGCATTCTCAGCAGCTCGGTCCTCCTGCCACCTTCTCCAGCTCCCCGCCAGCACTTTCACTCACAGTGCTCAGCAGGCTGTGAGGTGCTTGTCCCTGTGTCCACAACACCCAGTGTGCATTTCCCGAGGATTGTCTTATGAATAAAACAATATGAACAACACCGGAGCCCTGTTTATATTAAGCTGAGCCTTGTTACGGAAGGGTGCTTTTCCTACTACATTGTGTACTGTTTCTGTTTCTTTTGAGGTACCATGTAATATACTGTGAAGTGGTTTCCGCAGCACTTGCCCTGTGCCTGTTAATATGTGATTCTGTCTGTAGATTTTGAAGATCTCTTTGATGATGATGATGTCCAGTGAGACCCAGCCAGCTGTACACACGGCCATCCATGGCAAACCATTCAGCTCAGAGGACAGTGGCAAATGGCTTTAGACATCACTGGAAGTTAGGATCTGGACTGCTGAGGAAATGAGGAAAGAGGCTACCGGAATCACCTGAATATTCTGTCATCTCTGATGGAACCAGCCTTTGTCCTTATTTCAGTTAAAATAAACATGCAGGGTAACTTTAATTCTTGCACTTCTGGTTGAGTGTTCTAATTCCCAAAATGTGTGTGTGTGTGTGTGTGTGTGCAAGTGCATACGTGTGTGTATACATGTCAACACACAGAGCCATGTCAGTCAGCATAGTGAGCACCTGTTGTGCTGTTTTCCGGAAGCAGTTTTGGGTGATTGGCATGTGCAGGTGTTCCATGCAGCACTCCGAAGACCTGGCCATGGTCCTGCCTTGCCCCAAGTGGGCTGGAAGTCACTGCCCTCTACTCACAGTAGGTCTCATCAGAGCAGCTGTAACAGACCCACAGCCTAAAGAGTTAGGCTGATTGAATAGTGACTGAAAGCTTCTATATGAGAGGTGTATGTGTTGGTCCATTTCCAAAAAAGAAGGTAACATCTATGAGAAAAATGGTCTATATTAGCCAGGTAAGTGCTAGTGACTAAAAACAAAGAAGATTACTGCCAGGTTTGTTGGTGCATGCCTGCAATCCCAGTATTCAGGAGGCTGAGGCAAGAGGATTGTGGTAAGTTCAAGGTCTTGGCTCCCTAATGAGTTCAAGGCCA